GAGGTTGTAACAGTGTTAGACAAAGAAGCCAAGTTTACAAGGGGACTACATTCTATAAAGGCTGGACCCTATACACCATAGTCATTGCTCTGTCCACAGAACTTAGCACAATACTGGCACATAATGGCTCCCAAACATTCATTGATTGAATCATTAAATGAATGAAGACCACCTACCATAAAAAAGGTAGACAAAAATATACTTTAAATAGAGTTTGTCCATTGCATTTTCTCTTTCAAAAAACTGCTCTTTGTTGTCAGAAAACCTGATGCCTCAGAAGTCAGAAGGATGTTCCAAAGGGAAAGATTTGTAGGAGTGAGGCAATGGCCAACCCTGACTCCTTCTCAGTGTCCCTCCTATCCCTAGACAAAAGAGGACTACTTGGAAGTACCTGGTAAATGCCCCAATACCTGCTGGTATATAAACATTATTATCTTTTTCTATTATAGGAAGATGGAAGAGGTTTAAAAAAAAGTAAAATATATGTTCAGTAGGGCTAACGTTAGATATTAAGGAGTAGAATAGCCAAGAGCCCACATTAGGTTGGAGACTAAAATAGTCAAAGTGGTTTTGTCATGTTAGGTCTTTTCTATCACTCTTCACTCCAAGTCACAATTTCTGAATGCCACTTAGACAAAGTGAGTACCTATTCTGTTTTGTGATTCTCCCAGGAGTAACCAGCCCAACTCTTATTTCTCAGAGGTGATAATTTCATACTGTACACTTTTCTACTGAGATTTGAAAGGAGACACGAGTGTCATCTGAAATATCTCCAGGAGAGATGTAGGACATGAAGAGCTTATAAAAATGGAAATAATTCTTTTAGGATATAGTTGCTGGTATGATCCTTAACAGAGTCTTCTGGAAAAATGTCTCAGGCAAAATCTTTTCATTTGAAGGAACAGCAGTATTTGTAATTAGGTTAATTGAAATAAATAAGGGAAAAGCCTTCGGACCCTTGGAAGACTCAAACCTTTGATATGTTTTTTTCTATTCCATATTAGTTAGAAAACAGTGGTTAAACAGATAAAAATAGAGAAGATTGCTTAAAATTTAAAGCCATTGATTTAGATCTCTATTTGAAAGGTCAGTATGTGGGAGATGAAAAAGGCATGTAGTGATCAGAGTGCCCAACAAAAGAGATTTTACTAGCAGGAGTGACAAAGAGTACATCAACTATTTATATCACCCACTTCAAGTTGCTGGTCATTTCACTTAATGAAATAAGAAAGGAATTTTCTTTGGACATTCTTTGAGTGTAGTAACAATACAGTTTTGGAATCAGCTGTTACAAACTATAATTAAAGCTAGTTTATCATGTTCACTAATTATTCTACATAGTCTCCCTGAAGCTTTATATAATTCTCCCTTTGTTACAAGCCTCTATTTCTCCCTGGGGCATTCTGAATCCAGACAGGTAAAAAACTGAAGTGCTTGGAAACCAATGTGTTGTAATAACTGTTGAGCCAGGCAGATATTTGCAATTGAACTTGAGGGTCAGGTATTTAAAGGTTTCGCTCTACCACCTTGGTAAGATGTCTTGGGTAGAAAGAATAAGTGAAGGAAAACAAAAATTGAAAAAAGAATATATTAGTACTATGATCAAGAACCTATTTAATACTGGGAAGGGGAGGAGGATTTTATTCAGCAACTCCTGATAATCGTCTGATACTGCTCTCAGGCTGGCCAGATACCTGCCAACATCAGTGATCCTTTCATTCACCATCAGAGAAGTAGAGGGACTTGATTTTGATAGGAGGAGCAAAGCTCATTTTCTATTTTCTTCTTCAACTGATGGAAGTGCTTTTGGGCCCAGTCTCTATTCCAGCACTTTAATGCTACTGATGCACACTCTTTATGCTCCAGAATATCCTCTCTCCTCATGCCTAATACCAACAGGACAGGAGTGAACTCATTTTCTTCCCAGGAAGCAGATTTCAGAACTTCTCAGATACTGTGAAACTAATCCTTATAGTGTAGGCTCTAGAGGAGGAGCAAAATACGGCACTACTAATAACAGGGATTCTGGGGACAAGATAAACAACCTGGGAAACAAACAGGACATTTCACCCATACCCAACCCACTTGACTTCATTTAACTTCATCTTCATTTTCCCTCTCCCTACAAAGCAATAATTAATAATCAACTGAGCACAGCTCAGATATTTACCATACAATCTAGCAGAACACCTAGAAATCAGGAACTCCTCACCTTGGTTATTTAGAAAATAAATCTCTAGCTTACACTAGGCTGTGTAGACAGGACTTTCGTTTCTGGAAACCCAGTGGAGGTCTTTCTCTTTTCTCAGGTTGCTGTCCATTACCTCTCCCCAAGCTGAGCAGGACCATGTACAAAACCTGTCTCTAATGAATATCAACATTGAAGATTTAGCAGGTTGCTAACTCCTGCAAAGCTATCTTAAAAGGATGTTGTATATAATGCAGTTTTATGGAGCTTCAGAGATCTCTAAGAACATTGTAAATATCCCAGGTTTACACAGTAGTCCTGGAGTTAGGTAATGGCCTGTGGCTTCTAAGCTAGCTCTCTTGGGGTTTCTAGTCTTAAGGGGCTGCCTGCAACTATGATGTGCTCATATACAATCTTCTTATACACTGATTAAATCCTCTTTAGACCTTCCGAGGCACGTACTCATAATTACTGCAATACACATGCAAATTGATCCCCATTCTCCCAGGTTAAAAAAAAAAATTAGAGCCAGTGCCTCAGCCTACGTCTCAACTTAGATACTTTGGGACTCAAATTGTCTCAAGTTCTATTTCCCAAGCGAAAGAAAAGGAAGAAATTCCTAGATCGGCGTTGATTGATGCCCATTTTCTCCACGCAGAAGGTGAACAACTCGCTTTGTAGCCGATCAACGTCAGGGTAAACGTGCTTCAGTTCTCAGCATTTCTGCCAGCGTTCTCCAGACTGGTCAACCAATCCGGGCTGTAAGCCGATTTGACAGGTTTGTTCTGGGCTGACCGCCATTGACTAGGTTCTCTGACCAGATAAGTCACTTGGCTGAGTCTACAGTAGGTGGGGCGCGCTCACCAGCTCAGGGGTAGTGACTGGAAGTTTGTTGCAACATCGAATTTGAGCAGCGGGCTGCTGCAGAAAGATACCCTTGCCCTAAGGGGCAGAGCACTAGCGTAGATGTGCCAGGGCCCTGGGGCCCAGCCGCTTCTCCCACCGTTGGGAACGCGCCGTGTTAGCCGATCCAGACCTAGGGGTCTCAGGTTTCGGCCCTTTCTTGCCCTGTGGGTAGCAGGTGAAGGGTGGGACCAGCTCGGGAACTTTGCTCTGTGGTTGGAAGAATCAGCGGCCAGCGGTGCAGGGAGGCGGGGGCACGTGCTTGGATGGGAGTGCTAGTGTAATCAGCTCCCCAGGCGCCAGCCCCGACAGCACCCCGGCGGGAGGCTAGTCTGAGGCTGTTTTCCACCATGCCTAGGGAGGCTCTGGAGTCCCGCTGCGCCACAAGCAGGGAGCACGCTAGGAGGAGGCTGCGAAGGTAAAGAAACACTTGCTTCAGGAGATATCGTGGGGGAGTGAGAATTTGGAAAGTTTCCCAACTAGGAACGCACGTGACCTCCTCCTGAAAGTAGTTCCGACAGGGACCGTGTATCCCTCCACCTCCTTTTGAACCTCGTAGGTCTCCTCGGTCCCGCCCACTGGCAGGGGCTGCAGCTTCCTATGGTTCCGTATTTCACGCTCCGACCCAGCAACTCCAGCCTCCAGCGTGCACAGCGGCGCTAGGAGAGCGCAGGAACTTGGCCCCGGGGCGATCCACCAGCCGGGTTTTCACAGCGACCCAAAAGGGGTGGGGCAAGGTAGTCTCTAGGGACCGAGCTTGAGTTCGACGCGGTGAACTGAACTGAAGCCCCGGAGGGAGAGGTTCTCTGTTCTCTGCGGGGAAATGCAGGGGGCAGCGGGATGCAACCATGTCAGTCCACCTGGACAGTTCATCTTGGGGACCTAGACATTCAAGGACGATGTGCTCATACTCAGCGCCCTCGGGAGCTTTCATATTTAGAGCAAATGAGCTGAGTTGGGGAAGCGGGAGGTGGGGCGATGAAAGGGAGCCGGATGAGGTGATACACACCGGAGACACAATAGGGGGTTGTTCTTTGTGCGAAGATTGACACCTTGAGGACACGGGTGTGGGTAGATAGGAGAGGTAGGATTTCTCGGCAAAGGCTGCAACAGGCAAATCCCTGCGAACGGCTATGATCCGCCTGGGGCGCTCAGGAGAGAGGCTGCAGGCCAGGCCGGGGAGATTTGGGGGTGGAAGCAGGGACCGTTCCCGCTGCAGGGACCGCCCCTGCATTTTCCTGTTCGCCGAACAGAGCAGTCACCAGGTCCTTTCCACCTGTGCACAGGTAATCTCAGATTTGAGTGACAAGCCTCAAAGCACCCGCCTCTGCCTTCACCTTCAGTCCACCCCGTCGCCCCGAAATAATGTACCCTGCCTTTGGCTGGGTTTTGGGGCACAAGCCAAGGCATAGCCCGTTCCTCCGCCCTGCGCCGCTCCAGGTGCAACTACTGACGGGTGCCTCGGAACAAGCCCGAGCGAGCCCCGAGCAGTCATACTGAGCATGCTCAGAGGCGCCAGGAGCTTACGGGCTCGGCGCTCGCACCCGGAGCTGCCGCTTTTGTACCCGCCTTACCGCCCCTTCCCTGTCCAGCCTTTCCCACCCTCGGCGCGGCCTCGTCAGCCTTCCGCCTCCCCTCGGGCTCCCGAGGCGCCCGAACTCCCGGCGCGGCGGCGGAGGGGGCGGGCAGGCAAGCGGACGGGCGGTGATGTGGCGGAACTCTTTGTGCACTGCGGCAGGATACGCGTTGGGGTGCCGGGACGCGGCTGCGCTCAGTTCTCTCCTCTCGGAAGCTGCAGCCATGATGGAAGTTTGAGAGTTGAGCCGCTGTGAGGCGAGGCCGGGCTCAGGCGAGGGAGATGAGAAACGGCGGCGGCTGCGGCCCAGAGCCCCTCTCAGCGCCAGTGAGCAGCCGCGGGGGCAGCGCCCTCGGGGAGCCGGCCTGCCGGCGGCGGCGGCACCAGCGGCATTTCTCGCCTCCTCTTCGTCTCCTTTTCTAACCGTGCAGCCTCTTCCTCGGCTTCTCCTGAAAGGGAAGGTGGAAGCCGTGGGCTCGGGAGGGAGCCGACTGAGGCGCGGCGGCGGCACCTCCCGCTCCTGGAGCGGGGGGGAGAAGCGGCGGCGGCGGCGGCGGCCGCAGCGGCTGCAGCTCCGGGGAGGCGGTCGGAGTCGCCTGTCACCATTTCCAGGGCTGGGAACGCCGGAGAGTTGGTCTCTCCCCTTCTACTGCCTCCAACACGGCGGCGGCGGCGGCGGCACGTCCAGGGACCCGGGCCGGTTTTAAACCTTCCCTCCGCCGCCGCCGCACCCCCGCTGGCCCGGGCTCCGGAGGCCGCCGGAGGAGACAGTCGTTCCGAGGATTATTCGTCTTCTCCTCATTCCGTTGCCGCCGCTGCCAGGCCTCTGACTACTGAGGAGAAGCAGGCCCAGTCGCTTCAACCATCCAGCAGCCGCCGCAGCAGCCATTACCCGGCTGCGGTCCAGAGCCAAGCGGCGGCAGAGCGAGGGGCATCAGCTACCGCCAAGTCCAGAGCCATTTCCATCCTGCAAAAGAAGCCCCGCCACCAGCAGCTTCTGCCATCTCTCTCCTCGTTTTTCTTCAGCCACAGGCTCCCAGACATGACAGCCATCATCAAAGAGATCGTTAGCAGAAACAAAAGGAGATATCAAGAGGATGGATTCGACTTAGACTTGACCTGTATCCATTTCTGCGGCTGCTCCTCTGCCTTTCTGTCACTCTCTTTCTTAACGTGGGAGTAGACGGATGCGAAAAATTTCCATAGTTTGGGTGACTATACCATTTAACCCTGGTCGAATTTCCAGATCATGTGTACTTTGTGTCTTTTTTTGAATGCATTCAATCTAGGGTGTGTTCGGCTAGCCGGAACTCTTGCCTGCTTGTAAGCGTCAAGGCTCCGTTTGGTTTCTTAGTTTGTCTATGGGGGTCTCTTCCTAAGGGCTATTGTCCGTTAATACAGAATACAAGTACAGTGTTAGTGGATTAGTGAGCTCGGTAATCCGGTCTACTAAATGAACAGAAAAAGACGCTTTGAGGTTGAGCCTATTTCGATTAAATCTTGGCTGTAGGCCCTAGATCAAGGGTATAGATTAGATTAAAATGAAAAATTTAGTGTTGCACGTACGCACATTGCATCAGAATCTTGCAGTGATTGTTTTTAGTTTCCTGGGTTGCATTGATAGATTCTTTTAAAATGTGAGTTGTGAACCGATACGTGTAACTTTAGCAGAATCATTTGCAGCATATTTGGTGCTCATTTGAGGCAAAAGTAGGTTTGTACGTTTAAACGAAGTTAATTACAACTTTGAACTGCCTTTAAAAGTTTCGTAGTTTGAAATGAGTAGTGCCATATATAGTAAGGCGCTCTTATTACATCTTTGTTAAATTTGCCTTTTTCTCTTCTGTTGGGGTGATGTACGATAGGGCATGAAATTTGCAGTTCAGTAGCACTTTATTCTGTGCTCTTGTCGCATGTAATAGAATAGAGATTGAATGGTTTTTTGATCCCAAATGATAATATTGTATACGTTCAAGGGTATTGTGTATAGCAGATGGTGATTGCAGAGATTAAATTTAAATGTTCACTTGAAATTTAAGTATTGTGATGCCAGAATTGCTACACATTTTAGTAAGGTTTTAAGTCCTCTGACACCATTGGGTATCTGTTAATTTTACTCTGACTTGTATAGAATGTCCAGTATAATTTACCACCTAGTAACCAGAAATGCTGGGAAGAGTGGATTACCCCAGCTACAGATTGTAGGTATGTTAGCTTTTTTCTTACAGTGTATTAAATTAACTGAGTCAGCTTGTTGAATAAGATAGAAACCCAACAATTTTAACGGGTGTAGTTTTGATTGTCTAAAGGTTAGGTCTTTGCACTTCAGAAGATAGTGGTTATTGAAAGGCATTAATCTTTGCAGTTTCAGGTACAGTAAACTGATTTTGATAAGGTTGGGGATGAGCCGTCCTTTTTTGTAGAATGGAAAGTATCACAGGAGTTGGGTTACTGGTAGGCATGACAAACGGAATTAAGCTTATTGGTCTGAAATGATTGAAGCATTTTATCAAAGGCCATTATTAAGACCAGAAATTTGGTGATGCGAATTGTAGCAGTGGACAATATTTAGTTAAAATTATGTAATTGCATAAGTGTTATAGAGTATTCTCCATATTTATTAGCAAATATCAGTAAACATTTTAAAGATTTGAGTGTCCTGCTAAAAAATGTAAGATTTTTTTCTTTGAAGAAAAACATTTGAAGAGGTTTTATTTCTTTGGATTATGGAGCTGCACATAGATGTGCACAGCCAATGTTTTGAAGAAAAAGTTTGCGGAAGAAGTAGCTTTACAACACACAGAATGTGACAATTTTCTGTTAACTTAAAAAAGTAATATTTTTTTAAAAATTCAAAAATTTTGAAGTCTGCATCAATTGAAAAACTTTACTAAGACCGAACTTGACCCACTTGTCCAGAAGATAATTAATCATGGATAATCTCTTCTATTTGTAATCTAGTATTTGTGTGAATTAGCAGTCTTTTAGATTTATAGGAAAAAATAAATGTTTACTTAACTTTTTTTAAAAATCACCCACTCAAAAAAATTTCTAGAATGCTGCACGGTAGATATACTGCTTTTTGTACTAAAAGTACGTTTATGGTTTTTTACTTTACCCATTTAATCAAAAATTATCAGGGCTATTATAAGACTAACATTATTCTACCAGGATCTTACATGTGAGCAGTGAGGTGATTGGTCATTTCTCCTTTGATTTGCGAGTATGTGTTCCTCTATGCATGAAATTCATGTGACTTAAAACTTTCTCTAAAACTGTACTTTTAGTTATGATATGCATAGAAAGCAGTATCAATTATTGCATCAAATGACTAATAACACTTAATTTCTAGAGTTGTGGTTTTATTGAGCGAAATACTGATATGAAAAAAATCGTTTAGGAAAAAATTGATGAAGGGCTTGCTTTTTTGAGATTTACACTTCCAATAATTTTCACATACCAAAGCACTAAGGTTTGCTTGGTTTCACTTTAGTGTTTTGTTTGTTGTGGGGGAAATTAAAATGTCCATTGAAGACAGTCTTTGTCAGGTGGTAGTATCTAATTCAGCAGCTAGCTTATTAAATTCCTTTATGGAAAAATAGGTAGTATTTTTATCTGAAAAAGGTTGATAATGAAGTGATTTTTCTGAGGAAAATAGAGAATCATACTTGAGTTTTAAAATATTTTTGCAAAATTGAATTATTCTAACTGATTTGTTGATGGGGTTTTTATTAATGTTAGTCTGGAAAGTAGTGCTCAACATGAGACCTAAAAATTTAGCATCTTTAGATTTCATGGAAACTTTAGGCTTATTTGTATTTTTGTTTTGATAAGTTCATGTATTTTCAAATATTAACCTTTATAGGAAATATTTTTAACTTGCAGAGGGTATAGTGACTTGAACTTAGTTGTATTGTCTTTTAAGATTAGTGATTATTGAAATGACCATATTGTGAGGTTTTTTTAAAAAATTATTCTATTTGCAGTTTTTATTTCACAGTGTTTTATGTCTAAGTTGTATTTCTTTTCTGAACAACATTAGTGGGCCACCTAATTGCTATGACAATTTACGAACTGCATTTTCATAAAGCTTATTCAAGAAAGAGTAATTTACATTTTATGTGACTCTTAAAATTAGGAAGTAAGAATTTTATTGCTGTCCATTTTAAAAGTTTGCACAGTAGTACAGTCAGCAATGCAGATTTACCTTGTTTATCATATACTAAATACTAAATGAGTAAACAAAGTATGGTGAGATAAAAGCCCTTAATTGATTTTTTTTTTGGATGAGTAGAAGATACATTTGTGTGTATTACCTTTCAGAATTTTAACATGAGAAAGGTAACTGGCAGTATTTTTTGTGTGAAACAGTATCTGCTTTTTCCTAATAATCACATAAAATACACAAACCTCTTAATATTACAGAATTCCTTATTTTTTGGAAGTGGTCTTTTCAAATGTTCTCATTTTGAGATTTGCCCCATTTACTATTTGTTCATTGGTGATAGCTTAGTATTTTTTAAAAATTTTAAAGTCATTTAAGTATCTTCAGTGACTTTAATGGAGCAATATTTATTATGGAAAAGTCAGTTCACAAAGTTTCAGCATTAATTCACTGTAAGTAAACCTTCTATTTTAAAATTTTTACCGCAGCCTTTTTAGTAAGACAAAATATAGAAAATGTTTTCATATTAATATCGTATGTGAAAGCAAGTTTATAAAGATAAATTTAGAAGTGTGCATGTATGGACAGTTTTTCCCTTGACATATTAGGCCTTGTTTGTACTGTAAGGACAGATTACAAAAGATACATTATTAATGATAGTACAAGTAATTTAATACCATATTTGTTTTCCTGTAGAGACTGTTAGTTCTGAAGTTTTAGTTCTACTTCATAAAACGCTCACTCTTCTCTTTCTCTGTTTCTATTAGATAAACTTGGTTATAAGTGGAGTCAGTATTGGAGAGTTCTTTTGTGGCCTGAATACATTAAGAAAAAGTGTTATAATTTGTTCTAAGGATTGTGACTTACGACATTGGTCTGCCTGTGAGATTGGTTACAGTAATGATTTCAGTAAATATTCAGTTCTGCTTTACAATTGCTTTCTAACTGAAATTAATGGAGTTGCTATCAGAGTTATCAATAATGTCGAGATTAGACTGAATAACCTTAAGTCGGTAAGGATTTGCTAAGCAAACTGATATCCTTAACTCTTTTACATGGGCCATATTACTGCCACATGCATTCTTTGCTAGATGGTCAAAGTGTTTTGGTCTTTGACAAGTGATTCTCCTGCTTAATATTGAAGATATGCACTTGCTATTGTACATTACTTTGTTTTGTCAGGAAAGGTGAAATTGGTATATTGGATTTGACTCTTCACGTGTCCTCTAATTTTTTGAAGTTTTTTCATTGGTTACAGAAAAAGATTAGCAATTTGGTTCCTTTAAGATAATTTGCACTGGAAATTTGACTATTAGAAAAATATTAATATAAGAATAATATAAATTGGGGTGAACTAATTTTAAATGGTATATTTTAATTTCAGTATAATTAAGGGAGATTCTGTTCATTTGCAACACTTTTCATTAAGAGGTGGGTGAACATCTTCAGGGTATAAGGTTATATACTTAGTAGTGTTGAAAATATTGACAGATGGATGCTGTGGCTGCACCTGCCAGCAAAAGAATATTTTTAACCTGTAGTTAGTGTGGGAAAGCAGACTGTTTATGCATTATATTTTCTTCAGTCAAACGCTCTCCCAACTGAGCTATTTCGGCAAGGACTGTTTATACATTATATTTTAAGTGGTTATACACTTAATTATCAGGAGTCATCACTTCAAGTGTGGACAGTGTATATAACTTATATTAAGTGTTTGAATACTTTATGTCTAAGTATTTAAATAAATACAAAGTTAGCAAATTGTCATAATTCTAAAAAAGAAACTTTAAAAAAGATTATCTTGGTGGATATTGTTTTATGATTTTCAAATGAGGTTACATCTATTTCAAATTACATTAAAATAATGAGTATTATTTTTATCTACACGTTGTGTGTACATTGTTTCATTTTAGATTTTAGGGTGGCAGGGTAAGCTCTGGAGCCAAACTGCTTGTG